TCTTGCAAAGAGGCTTTGATGTGCATATTGTTATAATCCTTGAGGCTTAAGCTGAGTTTTATACATAACTTTCTTTCTGCTCCTTTTTCATCCCTGTTCCAATACCACTTAATTATATGGTAGGGCTGTCTTGGACTTTTGGCTCCCTGGAGAGGAGAAGACAGTCCCTTTCCATTCACAGTGGCATAGTTGAACAGTGGGAATCCTTGTTCCCAGCAGTCTGCACACTCAAGTTTCCAAGGTTCCTTTTGTTAAAAGCATCCTAGAAGAGGTATCTAAAGATACTGTAAATATTGGGAATTCCATATGCCACAGAGAAGCCCCCAAGGGCTCCCTGGCTGAGGGAAGTCATAGACTGCATTATTCTTGTTTACCAGTGACAAGTAACCACAGTTTCTTTAGCTGACCAACCTAGGGACCACTATGTTGTAGGAGTTAAAGAAGTCTTAAAACAACTGCTTTCTCTCTCTACTTTTCCTTTTGCAATGATCATAATTTTGCCTTGGTTCAACAGGTCCTTTAAGTGTCTTCAGACTCATCTGATCTGCACTTCGATCTGCTGTACTTCCCACTTACTAATTTTTACATGGGGAGAATCCTGTTCTAAAAGCTAAGATTTTGTATTCAGTTAGGAAATGTTCTGTTATTGAAAACAATAGACCTGTCTTGTTCTTCCAGAAGTGCTGTTTAAACAGAAGCAGATTCTCAGGAAAGGCTACTCTGTGCACAGGAGCAAAGCAGCCTTCCCACTGTAAATGGGAAACAGACATACTTTGTCTGAACCTTCTGCTCCTGATTGTTTTAGTCTGGGCTCCAAAGTGGTCTGTAACAACTTTTAGCTCAAGTAGAAGGGAGTGTTCTCTCCTTTTCCTTATTTTTTCTGTTTTGCTTTCTTAATGGATTGTTTCATTTTTCAATACAAATATACTGGAAGAAAAGATTGTTCCATATGTAAACCAGACAAAGTATAGCAGGCTTTAAAGTTTACCATTAGCCCACAGGGTCAACAGGGGAGTAAGGTAACTTTTCTTTTCTTTACAGCATTGAAGAATCCAACTTGTTTGTTTATTTTAAGAATTAATTTCTCCTCCTTTTATTTCCTTTAACAGTGTTCCCTCCTAGGGGTAACTTTGCTGGAGTGACCACTCACACACTTTTCAGGAGAGAAGTGCTATATTGATATTTTAGCTTGACAATAAGAACTTTTCTAAAGAAGACTATTACCATTATATATAATAATAAAGCGGAGAAGGAAAAATATCAGGGCCCATAGGTGAATCATAGTAAAAAATCTTCAGACTTCTCTATTTGAAAGCTTTATGCTGGAGCTAGAGCTCCATTGAAGTAAACTATAATAAATAACTACTATATAGATAAATATAAGGTAATCTGCTGCTTGTCCTATTTTTAAATCCCCCAACAATTCATTATCTCCTATACCTGCTCAGATATGATACTGCTTTGGCCAGTTTTGGCTCATTTAGGCTGGCTGAAACACTGTTTTGGCTTTGGCAGACAAGTTACCACTGATTGATAAATGACTTGCACCCCTGTCTTCAATGTTCCAATCCTCTGCCCACTTAACTTCTAATCATATCATCTGTCTCTTGTCAGAACTATTTTGTCCATGATACTTACTGTCTTATAACTAGCAGCAATTAAGGAAAATTTAAACAGCTGGACTATGGGAAAGTCTTTTAGGAGAGACTTCTAAGAAGACTAATTCTGTTTTTCCTAAGGAAAAACATCTGGCTCCTTTTTTGGTTCCAAAGATCTTCTTAATTTTGAAATAGGGCTAGAAGTCTCAGTAAGTTACCGGCTGGCCAGGCAGTGTCTATGAGGGGTGGAACTGTGAAAATTACTCATGGTTAGTCTAGCTAAAAACTACCAAAATTAGTGTGAGCTTTTCTACTGAGTTATGTCAGCAGTGAATATTTCAAGAAATCCCTCATTTCAGATTTACAGCCCTAATTGCTATCACATTTAATTTTACTGTAGTGCTCTTTGTTTTCAGTTACAGCTATATCATCTCCTTTACTTCATCAAATCTATGACTAGACTCTTATTTTATACTCTGCAGTGCATGCTAAAATCTGGAGGGACCTTATTATAGATTCACTGACTGCAACTATGACTTCAGGAAGGGTACCCAGGTATTTTTCATGTGGCTTATCAGCCCACATTTCTTTCCAACAAGTGAAAGTTTTCAAAGTAATCATCCTGAAATAATTGCATCTAGGCACGTTTAATATGCATGTACGTATTTCATGACTTGAAACCATACATTTAAAACAATTAGATGAGGGGTGTTCATTGAAATATGCTGGCATGTGCTTGAAACTACATTTTTGATATGAGGAAAAGCATCAGATAATCAAAAACAGCTGTTTCAGATCTGCCACAGAGGAGGTAGCTTAGGCAGTGAAATTCTATTCTCTGGCAGAAAAGGAGCAAGCCCATTCTTGCAACTCTAGTAGAGCAGAAGTTTCTGCAAACTGTGAAGCACTTCTTGTGTATGAAGGTTGTGCTAATGTCGTATCTCTGAACAAACAGGATAGTCCAGGGAGAGAGCAGTCCTGTCAGCATGAATGCACATCTTCCAGTTGCTGCCAGGAGCAGCAGAGCAGGCACAGCCAAGGAGGGGCAAAACTTCAGCTGCGCAGCACAGTGTTGGTCCTCCTTACAAAGCAGTACTGTGGCTGGATGCATCTGTATCCACCCACTTATTTTGCTTAAGATGTTGACTTTGATCTGATTGTGTTAGTAACACACTTTCTGGATAGGTTTCATACATTTCAGTTCAGATCCCTGTGGCACAGACATCCACAATGGTGCTCACAGCTGTGAACAATTCTTTTTCTATTATTTTCAGTGCAGCCAAGAGGCATTTTCAGAGTTCTGTTCATTAGACATATTTACTTGTCTGCTTCAGAAGATGATGTTTTATAGGTGCTTGTTCCTATGTACTGATATTGTACATTTTCATTTTCTACTTGTCCTTATCAGAGCAGTTCCTGCCACCTTTGTTCCAGAGTAGTCATTGTGTGCATGCTCATTCTCAACTGGTGCTCTTGGTTTAAAATTTGTGCCTCCTATTCTTAGGGCTGTCTTCTCTGAGGGCTATGACTGATGAGCCTGCCTGAAGAAGGCTATGAGAGATGAAGAGTTCCCAGCTGTTAGGATCCAAGTGCAGTGGTGTGCAGCACAGCACTGTTGCACAAATCAAGCCCAGAAATGGTTTACTTTGAAATGCTGTACTGTAAACTGCAGTGGTTCAGGAGCTGATAAAAAAGCAGCTCAGTAGTGCAAAAGCTGCAAGTTGGGCAGGCAAGGAGGTCTAACAGCATCAATAATTCCAAGCTAAGGATCCTTTAAACTTCTACTTAAAAGAATCCTTTCAACTCTGCTTACAAAATAAAATCTGTTTAGGTGATGTTATGAACAGTAATTATTTTCAAACTTTAAGATCTGCAGAAAGAAATCAGGGGCAGTGCTTTTATTTTCTTGTTTGTGTTCCCATATTGTTTGGAGTTTGACTTGCCACCTAACAGAGACATTTGGTAATGATAAAATAAATTACAGCACTTCTGTTTTTCAGGTACAATGTGTGTATCATGGCTTATGGGCAAACTGGAAGTGGGAAGACATACACAATGTTGGGACCACAGTTAGAGGGGAACTTAGCATTTGCCACAGAAGAGGAATCAGAACTTGGAATTATTCCCCGAGCTACCCAAGAAGTGTTCAGGTAAAAACTAAGTAAAGACTAACTAACTAACTATCAGTGGCAGTCACTTTAAACTGTATGGAAAGGATGAAATAATGTTTGTAGTGTATTTATCATGACAGATTTCAGCTTCAAAATTGTTAATATTTATAGCTTCTCTGGCCACCATTTGATACTTGAGGTTTCATATAGATTTCTATTCTCTCTCCTCCTTAATCCAATTTTCTAAGACAAGAAGATTATGCAGTTTTACTGTGTGTTATCTGTCTATCTGGCTTTCAGACTCTAATGAAACTTATGAAAAAGTTTCAACCATAGTTGTGTTAGTCCAAGAGATAATGAAGTTCCAAAAAGTCCTGTGAAAATTGACAACTGGAATAGATGAAGAGGATTCAGATTAGAACCCAGTCCCAAGGAAGAAGGATAGTAGAATTTTTAACTACAATCTGTTCTCGTTTTAAGGGTTCCTGGATTTTTTCAGTTGAACCTAAAACAGGATTAAACTGATATGCTGCTATGTTAGAGTAGAAGAGCCATTAGAAGTTTTTCCAGCTAAGCCTGTTTGTTTTGGAGAAGGGTATGAACTAAATCAAAGAACCAATTTTGTATGAGAATAACTGTCTAAATGTAAATACTCTCCTGAACAGAGAAGCCCTTAATTTATGGGTTTTCTCAGGCTGTGAACAGATAACTTCTTCCAGATATAGTTTCCCATCTCTGTTCATTGCTTGCTCTCTGCCAGATTTTATACTCTGAGCTCTGAGTGCAGTAACTGCCAGCAGAGAAATGATATTAAAAATCCTGAGATGGGAGGCCAGTGGAAAAAACAAACTGGCACAGCTGTTTGGAAAATTAAATTCTGTCTACTTCCTCAAGTATAAATAAACCGTATATTCTGATTCTTCAGGTTAACATTAGAATATGGATGAGGCAATTCCAAGGCTGCAGATACTTAGTAAATGCTCTTATCAGATTGTAATTATATTACAATTAAAGAAGAGATCTCTATTTACAGATTTTCATTTGGGGTTTGGCTTCAACATTTCTGGGCTTTTTTCTTCAAATTTTTTTCTCTTTTTTTATTTGCCAGGCTTATTTCAGAAAAGCCACCAGGAAGTTACTGGGTTGAGGTTTCTGTTGTAGAAGTGTATAATAATGAAATTTTTGATCTTCTGGCCAAAGACAGTTGTGGAAAAGTGTTTGGCGTCAGGCGTGATGTTGTCACAACCAGAGAAGGGAAGAGTGATGTGCCATCGCTGACGCACGAGTGAGTACAGAGCTTGCTCCTGCCATCCAAACACTGTCTGGTGGTAACGCTGTGTGGAGCTGTCACAAAACTGCATTACAGGCACCAGATTGCTTCTAAACAATGAGTCCTTACCATATGCAAAAGAACAGTTCTGTTTCTGTTAGCCCAGTCTGTTAGACTGCAGTTGGCTGCAAATGTCAAAATACTTTCAGAAATAAGTGTACAGTTACTTTGAGTTATACTCCTGTGCTGAGTGCCTTCCACTCAGAATGCCTGAAGATTGCAGCACATGTTGTCATTGCTGGATCTATGGCATCTTGTCAGCTGTTGAAAAAGAAGGGATAATCTTGGCACAAAGCACTTTCCATTCAGCCTCATTGAATTATAAAATTTACAGATTATCATAGAATTTTACATACCAGTTGCAAATAGTTAAGCAGCTGTACGGTGTTAGCTTTCCCTTTATGCTGGAAAGTTGGAGTTACAAAAATTAGAGTTGGAGTTACAAATTAGGTTGGAGTTACAAAAAATTAGAATAAGATTTTAAGTGATCTTTTAATGCAAATACCCATCTTAGTATTACTTAATGTTCTGTTTTCATAACTGAAGGTTTTAAAGCTGGAATTGTTATGTTGGCATTTGAACTGGTAGATCTTGAAAATCAAGGTTCTTCAAACTAAAAGCTAAGCAGCAAAGCTTCTCACCGTTCACTTGGAAGATGTCCCTCCCCAGCATTGTATGCCAGGTTTGATCCTTATTTACACAACTTGACAGTGTAGGGGAGAGCTAGGGTATTTAAGGCTACAGCTATACTTACTTTAATGCCTTCTTTTACTTACTAAGCATTATGAAGATTTGTTCTAGCACTCATGGGAATGATTCTTGGCATTAGGTAAGTGTGGCATACAAAGCAAATGTACAGTGCTTTCTTGTTATATATAAAATCTTACCTTGGGTAATTAGATGTTAAAAATAAAATATTCATAAAATTTCATCCATTAACAAGAGGGAATCTGTTTCAGATGCTTCATTTTAGTATTGGCTGTGTCATTTACAGTAGAGTGTCCTGAGTGAGAAGGGGCCCACAAGATCATTGAGTCCAACTCCTGGCCCTGCACAGGACAGCCCTAAGAATCCCATTCTAGTACCTAGCCACCCTCTGGGTGAAGAACCTGTTCCTAATATCCAATGGAAACCTCCCCTGACACAACTTCTGGTTGTTCCCTCAGGTCACCAGAGAGAAGAGGCTGATTCCTGCCCCTCTGCTTCCCCTCGCAAGGAAGTTGTAACTGCAATGAGGTTTCAGTTCAGTCTCCTCTTCTCCAGGCTGAACAGACCAAGTCACCATAGCTTCTGCTTATGTGGCTTCCTTTCTGGGCCTTTGACCATTTTTGTGGCCTTTCTTTGGGCCTTACACTAGGAATATCAATATTAGCTACAAAAAAAAAAAATTAGAATAAGCAGTATTAGTGGCACCAGAGAGGTGATGGTACCCAGTGGAATTAAACTAGACATCTCTCTGTGAGCACCCAGCATGAGAACAGATTACAAAAGGAGCATGTGCATTATGGAGATGTCACATAAAGAAGTGTCCTGCTCCTTGAGTAAATAATGTTTGTGAAAAGAAACATCCTGCTCTATTGAAATGTTTAAAACAGCATTAGTGTTTTCTATGTTTCTGAGGAAACGTGATGTTTTTCTTTGCCTCTCTATAATAATTCTTGTCATAGTCTAATCTTTACTTTTCCAAGGGGAATTAGCAGTCAGATATGAAATGCATCCCATGCCAATTAAATAAAATGCACTATCAGTGGAGATTATTTTGTCCTGTGGGACTTAGTCACATAAGCAGACCAGTAGTTTGTTTATGTGGATTTAATGCTATTCCCAGCAAGCCTTGATAAAAATACAAGAATGTGCTGGAAGATTGTGCAAACATACTTTTATTCTACCTAGTGATACACATTTATTGATTTGTACTTTCTACCAATTTAATTGCTCATAGAAAAGTAGGAGCCCAGAGAAATTGTCAAGTAGTTTTCTTCACTGTGGGATCAACAGGACTCTCCGTTCTTTCTGTGAAATAATAAGCACTGCAATATTCTCAGAAGGATTAACATTTGTATCTGGGGTTTGCCTGCTCTTGGTCTTGAGATTAAATACAATTTCCATAGAAATTCTGCAAGCTTAGTTGCACTCTGCACACTCCATAAGAACATGGAATGAATGTGTGATGGAGCTTAAAGTGATGAATCCTTTTGCCCTTTCTGTCTGTATTATGCTGACTAGTGGGTTTCTCTATGTCTCTATTCTTGTATTTCCCAACTGTGACTCTACTCCAACTTTTAGTATCTAGTTAAGGCTCTGCTGTCACGGGAATGAAAAACTCCAGAAGATGCTGGGAGCAGAACTCAACCTGTGTGTGCTGAATCTTTCTTGGAGGAGCTAATCTTTCTCCTTTGACTAGACAGGAAAGGAGCCATATGACTTAGAAAGTGAAGATGGGTGCATATAGTGTGGGCATGCTGGGAGTTGAACTTTCCCTGTTTCATCAAAACCTCCAAGTACTTTTTAATTAAGGTATTTCAGTAACTAAGATGCTGGCCTAGCATAACTTTATTCCTGAAAAATGCCTGTTCCACTTCCCAAGGGAACTTTGCATAGTTAGTGGACCCATCTATTTTCATAGGTTTTGGGAAAGGGAGAGGTGAGAAGCAGTGGGACTTGTGCCATAGAGACAAAAAAAAAGAAGCTGCAATAAGGTTTCATTTGTCCCTCTAGTTAATAAAAGGGCTGCCCTGTTTATTTCTGTAAATTTTAATTTATGGCAAAGGAACCTGGTGCCTTGAACTAAAACTCTTAAAAGCCACTTATCTCAATCAGTTAATGCTAAATTCTAATGCAAACATAAATAAAAATACTGCCTTGTATCTCAATTTCTCAATTACAATGCAAGCAGTGAAAAAAGTCCAATTCATAAACAGGTTATATTAATAATTACATAGAAAGGTTAATAAGAAAAAGCAAACCCAAACAAAGTAAAGGAATCATTGAATGAGGCCACCCAGCTGCCTGAAATCTAAAGTAAACAGCTGGTGCTTTGAATAAAAACACATCCTCATTTATGATAATATTTCATCTAGAATATATTGGCCTGCTGGGTCTCATTGGCCTCTCCATATATCCACTAAAGTTACAGTAGTCTCTTTCCTGCTAACATGTTCATCTTACTGAATCACGAAAGCCTCAGTCTCTTTCTTCTTTTATAGCTTGGTTGACTTTGGAGAACTTTCAGCATCAAATTTTTAACGTAACCACAACAGGGCTTCTCTTTGTAGAATCTGGTCCTGGAACGTGCGGCACATAAGGCTCGATGAAGTCGTAGAGATTACACTGAAATATTATTTCTGTCAGTCCTGTGGGGGAGCTACTGTGCCAAGCTCACCACACTGGGCTGGGGGTGTTGCTTGTCTTCAAAGCCAGCGGCAGCTTCCCAGCCATAGGTGACCAGCAGTGACAACACACCCTGAGCCCTGTCTTCCTGGCAAATGGAGGGATGGGGCAGCAGCTTGGAGTGCTGACCCTTTGCCAGCTCACAGCAGCAGCTTGCAGAATCCAACAGCCTGTGCTGCATCCTAGCCAAGGCTGCTTCCCCCTCGGGCCTTCCAGTCCTGGCTGCCCAGCCCCTGGAAGATGCAGTTCAAGGCTTGGGAAGGCAGGATGTGTGCCTCATTGGACGGGAGGCAATAGTCAGGTCGCTCCAGAGTAAGGCTCTGACTGCAGGAGCTGGAGCCGCTGGCTCTCTGCTGGTACCAGGTCAAACAAGCAGGAGGCATCCCCGGTGGCTGCCCAGAGGTAGAGAGAGGGTCACTGTGGAGGCTGGCATGTGTGGCTCAGGATTGACAGGGGAAGTCTATAGTGATTGTTTACCTTGTGCAGGCCTGGATACACAGGAACTGCACTTAGCTGGCTGCTTCTCCTAAGTGCCTATAGATATGGTGTGGCCAAATGCTTTTCTGGGCTTCAGATGCCCTTGCTTTGTATTTTTAAAGAAATTGTTTTAGTTGAGTATAGTTTGTTTTCTTTTGTTCTTCTGTCTCTAAACTCTTCAAGTATGGCTCTTAGCATAGAATAAGTTTGTGCCTGGTGTGACTTTTACTGAAATCAGCCAAATCTAATTCATAAAGACCTTGCCTTTTATCATATGCTAGCTGCTGCTGACTGCAGCGTTGTGGAACCAAGCCTGTGGCCTGTCATAAGTGTTATTAATAGTTGGGCTGTTACAGAGCATTCAGTGACCAGGCTATGATACACAGTCATCATTTATACCCCCACCTATAAACAACTCTTTAGGTGTTCTACCTTCAATGATTATTGAAGAAGGCAACAAGTGAAAGAAAAGTGTAGGCAGTCTTATCTCATTTCTTTTAAACATTGCAAACATAGGGAAAATCATAGTGGTTTTTTTTTCTTTACCTAACCAGATTATTTCACTGTCTGTGTTTCACTGTGGGTGCTAGGTCTTTGCCCTTGGATTCATATTTGCAGTACTTCTTTTAACAGGAAAAGAAAACAGATAGTATGAGATAAATGGTCTATAGAAATTCACATTTATTTATTCTGACATTGTACTCATTGAGCAGTGGAACTGGACTTTTTTTCCAGGGATTCTGGATTTAATTCCAAATGTGAAATACAACTTCCAGAGGCCCAGAGAAATTTTGGGGGTTTAGCTTAATTCTGTACCTAAGAAAATGAGCTATCTCAGCATAAATTGGAGAAACCTACTTCTGTAAGACCAGAGATTCCAGCAATGTCTAACCCTGTGTCTTTTCTTCCAAAGTGTGGAGATATAGAAATGTCTGTTGCTTCAAGAGCTGAGCTATAGTACCTCTGGACCTGCAAGGCTGGCAGGCCACTTCTGCAGCACTTTAAGGACTGCATGACAGCTTTTGGCTTGAATTGTCATCTTTATCTCACCTGAAAATGTCTGTCTGTGCAGCTCAAAACTGAGAGTAGTATAAGGAGAAGAGCAGAGAAATGGAAATGCTGAGGTTCTCATTCAAGTTGTCAGCTTTCTTGTGTGATTTTTTCCTGCAAGTCAGTTAAATATCCTTTCTGTTTCTTTACTTCTTAGGACTGTTGAAAATGCATCTGAATTTTTGCATCTAGTCAACAAAGGCCTACAGCTGAGAGTCACGCACCCAACACTGGTCCATGCTAATTCCTCTCGCTCTCATCTGGTAGTGACATTGACCATAACCACAGTTGTCCTTGGAGATAACTTTGGTAAGCAGGATGTTACTAAGATACATCTGGAGCCAGTTGTTTTTAGAAAAACAGTTTGTGGACTGGGAGGTTTTCATATTGCTTTTTCTTCCTTTTTCCAGTGTTTGATACAGGCCTTCAGTTCTTTTCCATTTTTCTAACTTCAACATTCCTTCTTAAATAACAGACCATTTTCATGTTTCCAGCACCTTTCTTTGCATGCCTTGACTTCCAGAGTTGTTGAAGTTTTATTGCATGAGGTAACTAATGAATAAGTATCATCAGAAAGTCATAAGATAAGGTATAAGATAGTAAGTATCTTGATAAGATACATACTCAAATAAAGTAGTTAAATCGCTTAGAATGAATAATTACATGTCATAGAAAGTTTGTGGTTAAGCTAACCGTAAATTTTAGGGATCATCATATGCTTTTGGTTGAGAAAGAATTAAATTTATTTACTCTCTGCCTTGCAAAAATGCCCTTTAAATTCAGAATCTTTTGAACTGTTAATAATAGGCCACTGCACGAAAAGACAAAATACTTGTCCTATTTTCTATTGGTAACATTCATATTTCTGCTTTCCACTACCACACCAAGACTTACCAGTTTATTGGTTGAGGAACAGCTTTCTTTTGGAGCTCTTGAGGTAACTTTGTTTTCTTTTGCTCATGTTATAATTAGGCTCTCTGCTTTCAGTACTGCGGTCCATCTCCTACATATTCTGCAACAACAATTTGATTTTAGAAAGTGGGAAATATTTAACATTTTTTCCCTTAGACTGCTATCAGAAATTAAACTAACAAAAAAGCAGAACAGACAGTGCCCTCTCTTACCTGTGGGCCTTGCCAAAAGACACAGTTAATTTCTAAGCTGCAGCTCCAGCATTCCCAATGTTAACTCTAGTCAGCTCCAGATTCTTGTCAGTTCGACTGATGGTACTTTTTGAAACTCAGTGCTTGCACCATTAGCACAGCAGCCATCTTGTCTGCTGCAGAATTCCCTTTGCCACTTCTAATTGCAGGCACCCCACTGTGCCATGTTGCCTGGCAGCAAAGCTCTGCAGAAATGGCTAATTGGTGTTGAATGCAGACTCTGGCTTTTGATTCACAGCATGTGGGTGAAGATGTGCACTGTAAGGAAGCAGAGAGAGCAGCACTGAACCTGGGACCTCACTGCAGCCGTGTGGCTTGTTTAAAAGGAAAGGATTCTGATTTAAAAGCCAGATGCCATTGTCAAATATCTCAATGTCAGATACCTTAGTCACTAAAGAAAATGTTGCAAAGTCTGTGATGAGTTCTGTGCCTAAAGCCAAGGTTGACAAGCCAGCACTTTTTCAGGTTTGCTTAAGGTATTTTAGCATTTTGATCCGTATTTGAGGAAAGCTGTTTCTTAATTTCATTGTCTAAAACTGAAGAGGAGTGAGAATACTTAGTTTGACACTGTATGGCCTGAAGCCATTTATTCTGTGTAAGCCAACACAGCTGCTCTGCCTACACTGTGAAGATCTGGTTCAGGGTTTAGCAGCAGCCTACTTGGAGAAGTACAGAGCTCTGTAAGGCAAGTCAGTCTGCTCCTTAGTCAAGTTTTGCAGTTGGAAACTTTCTACTATTCCAGCTAGAACTCTGCAAACACCCAAGGAGGTCTGTTGTCTCCATGACCTGTAGCAGAATATGTGCCTTTTATTTTTTTGTTCTTTCAGAGAGAGAAAGAAAGAGATAGATGAAAACCAAAACACTAAGAGAAAAAAACAAACAAACAACTTTGGGAATTCCCTTTTGCATACATTCCTGCTAAGCTAATGTGAAAGCAGCTTTGCCAGACAGTATTTGTCTTACTTCCCAGCAAACAGAGAAAGCCAGATGCTTCTGCTGAGGAATGATACTAGTAGGTAACCAACCTGAACAAGTGGGAATAACACTATTGAGGCTAACAGCTCGTCATGTGGAGATCTTGCAGTGGGATAGGAGGGCTGAAGAAGTCTAGGGGGAGCAGCAGCAAAGGATAAAATAGAAGAGGCAGGATAAGGATTTTTTTTTTTTTTTTGCCACAGCACCAGCAGTTGTAATTTCAAATACATAGAATCTATTTTCAGAGCCTACTGCTCCCAAGCATCTGAAACTGCATTTTGGTTGCAATAAGTCTAAAACTTTTTTAAAAGCCTCTTTAAAGTCCTTACTGGACTCCCATTTCTTGTTTTCCACACAGATGTGTCAACAATGGGGATATTTGATACAACACAATGTACACCGAAGCTTGTTACCAATTGGTACGATCAGTTTGATGAGTAAAACTTTAAGATAGAAAAAGTCATTCAGCCTGCCTGTGCCATGGATTCTGGCTTGTACATTGCTTCTGTTAGAATAGCCTGAAGCAACAGATACTGCACATCCCCCTATTGATACCCCATTTTTTCCCCATCTTAATTTTCAGTGTCAGTGAGAAGCTCTCTTTTGTTTTTTCCATTAACCAGGTACATTATGGGAAGATGAGCAAACCAGTCAGAGACTAAATAAAGAGGCTTCCTTCACTTTTCCACAAAAAATGAGAGACAATAAATCCACCTCTTCTTCCAGAGCCTCTTCACCAGTGCAGCTTGAAGCCACTGAGAAAATGAAGCAAGTCAAAACAAGACTGCAGCTGGTGGACCTGGCTGGGAGCGAGTGTGTTGGTAAGTGAACATGTCTGTTTGTGGGCATGGATCCTCATGGACCTAGATTAGAATAAATGCCTTAGTCCTTTATGGAGGGATGCATGCTGCTCACACAGGGGTGGTTTGAACCCACAAACACATAAACAAAATTTTGAGGGCTGATTGATCCAGTTTTACACTGGTACAGTTTAACTCAAAGTATGGCTGTATAAGCTTGAAATAAGCCCAGGACGGCTACCCCTATCATAGATACACTATTTGTTCAGACTGCTTTGATTAGGCCTAAGATTTCTATTCTGAAAATTAGCATGTCTTTGGTACCTAAATTTAAAGGGCATAAATTATTTAAATATTACAAATATCTGTAATAATTGATATCACCATGTGTGGATTTTTCCGCTTTATTGTGGAAAAAAAGTCTTGGAGGAAATTAGTGTTGAAAAGATAATATTGTTTTCATTGTTTCTTCAAAGCATTTTCCTTCTGCCTCCTCTATGCACACAATAATTTCAAAAACTTGATTATTTCCTAAAGGACAAGCTTTCTTACCAAGAAAAACCATGCAGCCAAATGTATCATTCCAGAAATAATGTTTTCAAAAGTGAACCAGTATTATGAAAGAGTCTTTTACTTTACTGCCAAGAATTCTTGCTGTTGCTCACTGTTAAACTTTTGTTCTACAGAGAAACCTAATATAATCCATTATTTTTTCATTTGCTCTAAATGCTGAAAACATGTAATTGAGCAACAGGGCGTGTGTTTGTTCTCTCAGTTAAATCAGGACAAACATTTCCTCCGTTTGGGGCTCAGCAGGCCAGATCCTCCAGTGAAGCCAGAAGAGCTGTGCTCACATCAGTGTTAGATGAGTGAGTTAGTGGCAGACTGACCTCTGCCATCAGATGTGCTAGTGGACATATTGCTGAAAGTGAGGGCAGCGTTAACTCGTAATTGTTTTAAAATGCGGGCAAATCTAAGTGAGCAGCAGTACCCCAAGCTTCTCACACATGTCAGCACCTAGCCCTGCTGGCTCTACAGCTGGCCTGTGTAATTTGTAGCACTTACAATCCAATTTGTCCCTTTTTAGCAAACTGTGTTTCACTTTGAGAACTCAGCCAAATGCTTTATCAAAGTTCATCTTACCAAATGCAGATAATCAGTAGTTTAAGCATATAACCCCTCCCCTATTTGCAGTTTTCTTCTTTAGGGGGATAACTGTTATCCCAGGAGTCTACTTTTCCTTGATATACAAGCAGCCTGAGGATGGCTGTATATATAATGACCCCAGTAAAATTACCTGGAGATTCATCCCATCTTGGATTGTTATCCACCCTTTGGCAGGGTCTTCCAAACTGTTTTGCTGTGTCTCTGACAACTGGAGACTCTATCACTCCAACTTCATCCTCTCCCACAGTCACAATTCTACAGCTCTCCCTGTCCAGACTCCTGGGGTTTTTGCTACTACTGTACTTTTCCACATTTCCTTCTTGAGCTCCCCTTTGCTGGAAGATGCTGGCCTAAGGGGAAAACAAGATCTCTAGCCACTCTCTGTACCTGTCTAGAGATAGGAGAGTAGGCAGCAGAGGAAGATGTTGGCCTCATCTGATCCCACTGTCATCAGCTCTGCCTGACGTGGATCATGTGCTCTGGGTAAGAAGTGACTGAGGATGTATCTGTACCTCATCCACTATCCTCAAGAAAGCTCAAATTTGAATAATATGATGCTAAATGCTATTAGAAAATTTCTTGTCCCCAAATGGCAATGGTAAGGACAGCAGGAATTAATTACTCTTAACTGCACCCTCATCCAGACTGATCAAAGAGTTGAGCTTGCAGCACCTCTTTGAATTGGTGCAATGTGTTGCATAGACCAAACCTTTATTGGGTTGTTCAGGGGCAGCATAGCTACGTACAACCATGCGGGGTGGGTGGTAGAAGGGCACCTTCTACCACTTCCTTAATCCGTTTCCTTACAGCAAATCATGCCATAAAACACCACTCCACAGGCTTTGGTGAACCCAAACACTTCACACTTGTGGCTGCTGTACAGTTTTCTTGCTGCAGCTTGTGCCATCAGTGTCTTGTCTCTTATTTCCAAAGGGATACAGATGGGGCAGCTAAATATTGTAAAAAATGGTGGAATAAACCAGGCTTCTTATTGGAGCCGTTGTGGACTCATGCTTTCAAAAGCAGTGTTGTCTGATCTAAAGGTGTTCCTGCTTTCTTGGTTCCTTGTTCTTAATACATATAGAGCAAAAAATGCATTGTACACCTGCAGAGATCAACTTTAACATGAGATGCTTTGGACCATCTGTAGACATTGAATCTTCTCTAACCTTTCCTTCACATTACAGTTTTGAGGCAGATTTGCTTAGTGTTCCCAGTGCCTTTTTGTCCACTGTACCAGGTATGTCTGGAGTGACAGGGGCAGCACTGAGAGAGACCTCCTTCATCAACCGCAGCCTGTCTGCCCTGGCCGACGTTCTGGGAGCGATAGCAGAGCAGCGAGCTCACGTCCCGTACCGGAACAGCAAACTTACACACCTGCTGCAGGACTCCCTAGGTGAGGCATTATTCTGACTCTTCAACAATATAGATTTCTTCTCCTGGTTTTTCCTCTCCTTTGCTGTGTAAAACTAGAAGATGATCTTATACTCCTTGCTTGAATGTGCCCTCTCTTTCAAAGACTCTGGCTCAGGGGAGTGTGAGTACACACTTACAGTTATGAACTCCCGAATCAGGCTAAACCGTGCCGTTTCCAAAGCTCAGTTGAAGAACAACATCTCAATAAGATCATGTAAAGGGTAAAAATTGCATTTCACTAGTGTTTCATGTCAGGTACAGTTTAACTTTTAAACTTCAATCGTTGTTACTACAGGGTATAATCACCTGCTTGCACATTCCTTAACATTGTGCCTTGTAGCAGCAAGACAAAGGAAGAAGGCAGGTCATTGGCACTGTGCTACAATTTCCTTTTGTGTTGGGGTCACTTCCTCTTCTTTAGCTCCTCATCAATGCAGAAGCAGTTTTAAAGCAAGTGTTATGCCTGCAGTAATGTTAGATTTGTGTCCGTATGTGTAGTACATTAGTCCATTTTTCTTCAGCCAGAAAATATTAGGCTTTATACTTTTAATCTCCAGTTCAAGGCATTGACAGTGAATGAGATAACAGTCCTTCAGAGTTTCTGAAATACTATTACTTTGATTTTCACTTAGTACTGGAGTCCCTACTGTGAGAAGGGAAAGCCGAAAAGAGAAGTGAGAGCTATGTTGTACAGGCACCCAGCCTGATTTTAACTAAGTCTGTTGTATGACTTTGGTGAAGTGTTGAAAATGGCCATTTCTGCCTTTGTTTAACCATTGTCTATAAACTTCAAGTCTGTTTTGTTTAATTGTCACACAAGCCATTTTGCCATTACCCCAAATTTACAAATATTTGACAGAACTTAAGTCCAGAGCCATAACATACATGATGATTAAGTAATGAAACTAATAGGGGAAAAAATGTACATTACCAATTGTGAAACATTTTGGGGCAAATATATTGTTAGATATAGATTCCCCATGAAGGAGCTGTCTGTTTCAACAGCCCTTTTCAGAAGCAGTCTTCTGCTTCATGAAAGCAACAGTAACCTGTGCTCACTGTTGTGTATCAGTATGGTAATAATGTATAATTTACTGAAAATAATGAGGTAAATAAGTATGTTTTGTCTTTCCCCTGCTTTTAGGAGGTGATGCTAAACTGTTGGTGATGCTGTGCATCTCTCCTGGCCAAAAGTACTTAACAGAATCAATGCAGTCTCTGGGATTTGGAACTCGTGCTCGGCAAGTTCAGAGAGAACAAGTCAAGAAAAAAAATTTCTCAGTGCCGAGTAAAGGAAAATAAAACCTAAGACTCCTGTGGATTAAAGTATCATTAATGAGTTCCTCAGACTGAAATGTATATTGTTGTCCTTAAACCATTCTTTTAGATATCAACTGCCAGATAAAATAAACAATCTTCAACATGGCATTAGTAAGCAATAAACCTGCTAATGATGTTCTTGCTCCAAAGATAATAGCAAGTATTGACAACAGCTACCCACCATGGTGGAATGGTAGAGAAATAAACTGGGCTTTAAGACATAGCTTTGGTGATGTGTTTCTTTAATTCTGCTTGCCCAAAGTCAACAGGACCCTGATTTAGGGTGGTTTGCTTCTGAGAGGCCAAGTGCGCATTCTGTCTTCTCAGTAGAAGTCAGGAGGTTAAATATCATTCCAGTGCTTCATTCATTCATTCATTCCAGTGTATTAAAATGAGACACATCAGTTTTTGACTGCTCTACTATCCAGCATGGATGGGCTCATTCCTAATGCACTAGCAACAGG